AGGAGATGGTCATAACAATGGCTGTTTAAATTTAATGCGAGTAAATGCAAGGTGATGAGACGTGGAACACAGGTGTGACGAGGACACACAGGGTATAACAATCCGACTTGAAAACAATTGAGTCAGAAAAGGTCAAGGATCTTAAAGTAGCCCTAATCCCCCAAACCTGGCACCGGAGGCACTCATAAACATGATAACATCAGCGGCGTATGCAAAGTTGGCCAACTTCCGCGTGTCCCCCCAGGCGTCCGGATGAAGCGTGTTATGTAACCCAGAGCCATATAAGAAAACACAAAAACTAAACTAGATCAAGCTCAGAAGATGTCAAGAAGACCTCCTCTGATGTCTTATAGGCATAAGACATCTTATAGACATCTCAGAGGAATGGAGGCATTGTCAGTGATGTCACAAAAGAGATGTGCAGCATCGCCAGAACCTGGGCGCTAGAGGGAATGAAGAGACACCACGAAGACTGTTGAGCTACAGGGATGCAAGACAATTTTTTCTCAATGCAAAGTTCCGAGGGTCGGGATGATAGCAAGCAAGATGATCGTAAGCCATTGAGAGGCGGGACCCAGGAGTTTAAGCTCGCCTTTGAAAACACATATAGGTGAGATGTAAGTGAGGGGGGGGGGGAATACACTCCCACACAATTATTAATACAAACACACACACACACACATACACTCGCCCGAATACACACACACACACACACACACACATACACTCGCCCGAATACACACACACACACAGGTATTATCATAAAAACACTCACATACAAACTTTTAAATATTAACATCAAGGAAAGAGATCGCTTAAATCCCATCAATATTAGCATAGCTAAGCACTCTACATACCTTCCGCTTCATCCGTCATGTCCGCGGCCTGAAGAGACTCTAAAATTTGTCGCCTGAGGAGATTGTAGGGTCTATGGCCTGAAGAGACTATAGGGACCCCATCCCTTCGCTATTTCCCAGTATCGGGCAGCCAGGGCGCATCCGATCCCATGATCGTCGTCGCCCCTAAATCAACACAACAACAACATAGCTAAGCACTCACGATCCTCTAACAACTTGGATCCCTAACGTGTCATATTCCACAACAAAGGCTTCAAAGTTACAGGCACAGGCCCACCAAAATTATCAACACAAGGTAGTATAGGAAATTCAAATCATGACCAACAATTTCATCACAATGAAATTATTTCCAGAAATATTAAATTTTCTCTGTGTTATAACGTTTGTTTAATTAGTAGTCAACTTCATGCGAAGCATAATTGAAAGCAGAAGGGCAACAGTGATGCTGTTTGAGGCAGGGAATAATGCTGATAATATTGTTGTTTGATTTGGACATTTTTATTGTTAAGTAACTATTGCCCTCATTAACAGAGAGAGGGAGAGAGAGAGAGAGAGAGAGAGAGAGAGAGAGAGAGAGAGAGAGAGAGAGAGAGAGAGAGAGAGAGAGAGAGAGAGAGAGAGAGAGAGAGAGAGAGAGAGAGAGAGAGAGAGAGAGAGAGAGAAATCTGCTACATTTCAACTCTGAAGCTCAAGCTGATTTATTTCTCAATTCCTTTTGGCAGGGATGTTAACACGCGGGCCCCAAGCCTCCGGCTGGCTTGCCTTGTCTCACGCATGCCAGTTGGACGAAGTCGATGAACGGGTGTTTATGACTCGTGTGTGTGTGTGTGTGGGCTTCAGTAACATTATATCTAAATATACAATGAAATCACATTAACGTGAAGTAACACTGAGAAAATCTGTAGGAGCCGTGAGGAAGATTCGAAACCTGTTCACTTGGTATTCCAAAGCAAGAACCCTAGACCCCCCTCCCATGCGCTACGAAATGGAAAAGCAATGCAACCGGGGATTCCTCTGAACCCTCTAGGATTCCTGAGACCCCCATATGAAGCCCAAACAGGGTATCGTTATCTTTTATCAAAATTAGAGATTCATAGTCGGTTAAATTCTTATAGCAATCCACAGATGCTGTTGTTTCAGCTGCTGCATTATTGTTACTATCTATCTGCATTGCTATATGTCTAATTATTTTCTTAATGTGTGTGCTAGATTTTGTGGTATTGTAAATATTTACATTCCTCCGCTTAGTTGCAAGTTTTGTCGTTGCGACAGCAATGTCGTTCCCTGGTATTCCTACATGACTGAACACGCGGCTCATAAGTATCCGACAACCTTCACTGTCGAGTGTTTCCATTAATGCTACACCATTTGTGCTCAGATGGATGTTGTCACGTAAGTGTTCTTGCTGCAAGGTTTCAATGGCAGTTCTAGAATCTGTAGGCATAACAACATATCTATATTCAGCAAGTACATGTTCCAAAGCCTTCGGAGTGGCTAACACACACTTGAGAGTCTCCAACATCAACAATAGAATTTCCTGCCAATACTGTATCGCCAGATGCTCATCTCCCTTGGTTCTGCTGATCCATCCGTGAAGTATGTGAGGTATATATATATATGAAGTACATATTCAACTGGACAATGATGCGTAGCAGATAGGGGATTAGTCTGACTTGTTTCCCTTTGAAATGCCATAATCTTAAGCACCGGTTTTCTACGGTGCTTGTAGAACGATGTGTGCGTGTGTGGGTTGTCGACTCGTGTGTGTGTGTGTGTGTGTGTGTGCGTGTGTGTGTGTGTGTGTGTGTGTGTGTGTGTGTGTGTGTGTGTGTGTGTGTGTGTGTGTGTGTGTGTGTGTGTGTGTGTGTGTGTGTGCGTCTCAGTGATCGTATTTGTGATCTCGAATATATTGATGGTGTTTATTGTATTGTTGGCCCCACCGGTTGATATTGGAAGCTTTTCTGTCCCGAGTTCGAGATTCAGTGACGGAGTCTTTAAAGTGAACTGTTTCTTGGTCCATATAGTCACTGTCTTGGTCAGCAGTCAGGCAGTAAGACCTTTTAGACTTATTTCAACCGCTGGTAATTTGGTTTCCAGTCTTATGCTTCGTATTTTAATCCATCTGGGAGCTCCTGTTATGACTTGTATTGCATCGTTTTAATGGGAGCTCCTGTTATGACTTGTATTGCATCGTTTTAATGGGAGCTCCTGTTATGACTTGTATTGCATCGTTTTAATGGGAACTCCTGTTATGACTTGTATTGCATCGTTTTAAATAACCTCAACCTTTGAACCACGACCAGGAGGAAGAGCGAGGCGCTGCATCATCGACGGTGGAAGGAGGGAGGGAACTATCAGGGGAAAGTGCTAAGCCACTACAACTATATAGCACTTGGAAGCGGTCAGGATAAAGATTTGGGATGGGAAGGAGGGAAAGGAATGGTGCCCAACCAGTTGGACGGTCGGGAATTGAACGCCGACCTGCATGAAGTGAGGCCGTCGCTCTACCGTCCAGCCCAAGTGGTTGGACGAACGAGGGAACGAACGGCGTCTATGCTAAACATTCTTAACACTCTGTGTCCCGCTCCTAGACGGGGCCCTGTGATTACTCTCATTATATTCAGTCGAGATTTTGCTTTCTCCTTCAAACCGACCGCACAAGTAGTTGGGCACCATTCCTTTCCCTCGTCCCATCCCAAATCCTTATCCTGATCCCTTCCAAGTGCTATATAGTCGTAATGGCTTGGCGCTTTCTCCTGCAAATTACTTTCCTCCTTCAAATACTGAATTACCGTGTTAAATGTCGCTTTAGAATCTATCCACACTCCAAGATATTGTTATTGTGCAACCCAATGATGGTTAATAAAATGATTGTTCTGTAACCATTACTGCCACGACTGTAGTTTACCCTTAACATATGGGGAAAAAAATATAAATTCTGACTGCTACGAGGGTCATTAATCGTCAACTTGCAGTAATATCTATCTTGTGAAGGCGATGTCAGGTTATATTAGCGGCTGAAAAAAATGCAGACAGTGATATTAACTGTATAGCTGAGACAGGTATGCAAATGAGAGGCAATGACCTAGCGTTGAGTGATGAAATTGATGAATAGTGAATGATTACTTAGTCTTCAATGGTCATGAAGAGCCACGTGTTGAACCAAGGCAGCCCAGAAAGTTACTGCAATGCAGTTCATCTCACAGCTTCTCGACAGCAGGGGTTGCAAAATCTTATATGAAGCGCAAATTTCGCTCTCATCTTGAGTATGCTCCCCGCTCCACCCATACCCATACCCAATGGCCCATACTCCTCCATCCTCCAGTGCCCGAATTCTGGAAACGATACAGAACCCCGTGAGAATTCTCATTTCCAGCCTGGACATGTTTGCTTGGCAAGCATCTCAGAGCTTTTGACACCAGAGAGATGTTGGCAGCCTTATTGTTGGTAAGGCTCTGTCCCTGTCCCAACTTGAGGGACAACCAGACGTTGATCACCACAACACAGGGCGCTCAGTCATCAACAACCTCACAGCGGGCAGTGATTTACGACACCACTCCATCAACAATCATCCACAGTTTGGGCCAAAACCCCCAACTGTGACACATTTAACATGCAGATATACATGGAATAAAATCCCCCGACTGTCTGAAGGCTCTGGCACACAGTTATAATAATAATAATAATTTTTATTTAGGTAAAGGTACATACATAAGGAGATTTTACAAAGTTTGTTGGCTTTATAGATAGAGCTAGTACATACAATGCCTAAAGCCACTATTACGCAAAGCGTTTCGGGCAGAATGGTTGGTCCCAGCTTCAGGTCCCAGCTTCATCCAGTAACGAACGTTATTGTAACTTAGCAGTAAGTGAAGCTTTTTTCTAGTGGAATCTAATAATATGCTTTGTTTCTAGTATGAAGCGTCAGATGAGGGATAATAACTCTTAGTTTACTGTTTCATTACTAACAATAATACCATTCCTAATGATCTCTAGATTGAGTTAAAAAAATAAAGAGACAAAGATAGACAGAAACAGTTACAGTCATACAGAAACATACAAATAAGCAGAAATAGACAGAAATCAGACATACAGATAGGCAAACAGAACCAGAGATACGTCCAGGCAAACAGAACCAGAGAT